ATTCCTGGGACAAGACCCATAAGAATTCTCTTAGGGCCGCGGTCTCGGGAACTCACTGGACCCAGGACCGTCTGCAGCGGCATGGATTGGTGTCGTGCAACCTTTGCAGGCTTTGCATGGGGGCCCCAGGGACCACGTTCCACCGAAGATTTGTTTGTGAAGCTTGGGCTGCTGATCGCTCTCATTTCTTATCGGATGAAGCGTTAGAAGCAGTCAAGCTAATTCGGCGGCTTGGTGACCCTGTGGAGTTTTTTGCTTCGGGCAATTTCCCTTCTCCCAGGGAGCTGGTTCCCCCGCCCCTCAGGTCCGAAAGGTGCCAGGTCTTCTGGATTCGAAGGCCCGAGGACGGCCTGTTGTCTGGCAAACTGTTTACCGATGGCTCTGCCATTTTCCCCTCGGACCCGCTCCTAAGAAGAGCAGGGTGGGCGGTGATCTCGGTCGACGACACTGGTGCCATGATCGCTGGAGCTTTCGGCCCCGTCCCTTGGGATGTTGCTCCTCTCCAGCTCGCCAAGGATGGCGAGGATTATGCGTATCGGATGCTCGGCCAGATCGCTATTAACCCCGAGGGAGTGTGGACCGATTGTGCAGCTACGATTTCCTGTGCGCGGTCGAGAGTTCGCTCCACGAGTGCCCGTTGTGGCCAGGCTCACATGTGGACCTCTGTGCATGCGGCCTTCGAGGATGGGCTGGTCGTCCACAAAACGAAGGCCCACTGCGCGGAGGCGGACATGGAGAGAGGGGTCACCACTCGTTGGGAGCGTAAGGCTAACGCCATTGCCGACGCCCTCTCGAAGCGAGGGGCAGGTATGCACCCTTCGGTCGATCAGGCCGCCCGTGAAATCGCTGGTCTAAGTCTCCTGGGGCGGGAGTTGGGCCAGTGGGCTGGGCGGCAGGGGATTCTGATGCGGGAGCGGGGGTGGGCGGACTCGGAGGGCCTGCCTGATAAGCGCTTGGTGCCTGGTTCAGGACCTCGCCAGGGCCGCACCCTTGAGCGCCCCATCCCCCCCGTGTCTGTGCGTTTCAGGGCAGTGTTGTCCGCCATTGCCCATTCGGGGCCGTGCGATCCCGAGCTTGCAATTCTGATGAGGCTGTCTCAGCATAACTTGCGAGTCTGCCATGTTTTCGATCAGACGGGAGTTTCCGTTGTCTCCGCCCCGCGTATTGTGTGTTGTATCTCGTGTGGTGCTTACGCGTGGGGCGGGGTCAGGGAGCTTGCCGTTCGAGAGTGTCATGGTCACAGTGCGGGGAAGGGGCTCAAGCAGCAGCGTTCACGTTTGCTCGCGGGTCTCTTTCCCAGGTGGCTGAATAAGTACAAAGGCTGGAGTGTTAGCTGTCTCGAGCGCCCCGTCCCAGGTGATCTCCTGAACTTGGCTAGGGCGATCCTGGACCGTCCCCAGGCGCGGGTGACGGCGCCTGCCGCCCGAGCCGTTTTCCCCAGGGGACCGCCATGGCAGGTGCCCATGGGGCGGGGCCCTCTCCTCGCCCGCTACGGCCTCACGGTGGACTCGCTCCCGTTCTGGGAGCAGGAGGCCGCCCGCCGGGGCGCGGGGGTGGAGGGGGATTTGGTTTAATGTGTCTCCGTTTTTATCCCAGCGGTCGGTATCTTGGACGCCGCCCGCCCTCGTCTTATCTTATCTTACCTCCTCCTCCTCTTCCTCCCCCTCCTCCTCCTCTCTTGTCACTCTCTCCCCTCCTCCTCTCTTGTCCCCCATCCCCCTCTCCTCCTCTTCTCCTCTTGCCCTCATCCTTCCCCGTCTCTCCTATTCTGGACACTTCGCGTAACTCCACCAGCCCATCCAGAAACGATGCCCAGGCGAGCTGCCCTGATCAGGTATATGGAGGAGCATGCAGTGGGAGGGTAAGCAGTCATACCCCAACAGGCCTCGGAAAAAAAAATAGCGAACACTCATGCCACATTCATCTGTGAACGCCTCCCCCTCCCCCCAATGTTCAAAGTTGGTGGTGGGTCTGATGAGTTGCACCTCGACCGCAGTCTCCCCCGCGCGTGTCAACCTTGAGTTTGGGGGGCAGGGGTGGTGTTCACTAAGTGCTTCCCTCTACCGAAGCGGGGGAGGATGGAAGGTAGAGGATGAGGGGGAGGAGGAGGAGGAGGAGGAGGAGGAGGAGGAGGAGGAGGAGGAGGAGAGGAGGAGGAGGAGGAGGAGAGGGAGGAGCCAGGAAGAGGAGGAGGAGGAGGAGGAGGAGGAAGGAGGAGGAGGAGGAGGAGGAGGAGGACAGGAGGAGGGGGGGGGGGGGGAGGGGAGAGGGAGGAGGAGGAGGAGGAGGGGGGAAGGGCAGGAGGAGAGGAGGAGGAGGAGGAGGAGGAGGAGGAGGAGGAGGAGGAGGAGGGAGGAGGAGGAGGAGGAGGAGGAGGGGAGGAGAGGGAGGAGGAGGAGGAGGAGGGAGGAAGGAGGAGGAGGAGGAGGAGGAACCCGGAGGAGGAGAGGAGGAGGAGAGGAGGAGAGGGGAGGAGGAGAGGAGGAGAGGGAAGAAAGAGCAGCCCCCTAAGAGGAGGGAGGAGGGAGGACAGAGGAGGAGGAGGTAGGAAGGAGGCAGGCGATGGAAGAGGGAGGTTAGGAGAGGAGGAGGAGGAGGAGGAGGAGGAGGAGGAGCGAGGTAGGGGAGCCGAGGAGGAGGAGGGTAGGGAGGAGGAGGAGAGGTAGAGGAGGAGGAGGAGGGAGGACGGAGGAGGAGGAGGAAGCCGAGCAACGTGAGTTTTTTGAGGGAGCGGGAGGAGGGAGGAGGAGGCGTGGGAGGAGGAGGAGATATGGAGCTGAGGAGGAGCTTGATGGCGGGGGCGCGGGAGGAGCGGAGGGGGAGCGAGTTTGAGAGGAGGAGGAGGAGGACGGAGGTGAGGAGGCCCGGCGGAGGAGGAGGAGAGGCGTAGGAGGAGGAGGAGGAGGAGGAGGAGGAGGAGGAGGAGGGCGGGGGGAGGGGGGGGAGGGGGGGGCTGGCGAGAGCGGGGGGAGGGGGGAGGGGGAGGGTGAGGGGAGGGTGGGAGGGGAGAGGGAAGGGGAGAGGGAGGGGGAGGGAGGACAAGCTAGGTGCGCTCGCGTCATATCTGACGTCCTACCCCTCCCTCCCATCCCTTACCATGGCGCTGATTTTCTCTATCCGCGGACGCGTGTCGTAGCGGACCTGTGGCTCCGCGCGCGCGTGCGTAGTGGGTGGTGGTGCACGTGCGTGCGTGCGTGCGTGCGTGTGTGCGTGGTTGTGGTGGTGCTGGTGCTGGTGCTGGTGCTGGTGCTGGTGCTGGTGCTGGTGCTGGTGCTGGTGCTGGTGCTGGTGCTGGTGCTCGTGCTGGTGGTGGTGCTGGTGCTGGTGGTGGTTGTGGTGGTGGTGGTGGTGGTGGTGGTGGTGGTGGTGGTGGTGGTGGTGGTGGTGGTGGTGCGGCGCGGTGGTGGCGGGCGGATGGGCGCGCGAGAAAGAGGCCCGCGCTGGGGCGAGAACGCCATCCTGAACGACGGAGGCCAAACACCGATCCGAAAATGAGGCCCACGCTGCAGCGGGAGCACGATTCGGAACGATTCGGGAGCAGAAATGAGGCCGGCGCCTCAGCGAGAGCATCATTAAAACAAAAAACGCAGGCGAAAACCCGTTTCCCAGGAATCCTGTGTGTAAAAAAACCGTACGCGGGGGGCGTTCGGCCCGAAAATGACGCCGGCGCCTCAGCGAGAGTCGTTTCCCGGGATTTCGCGGGCACCCTGTGTGTAAAAAACAGTACGCGGAGAATGCGCGGCCATCACCCGGACGCCATCAGGGGAAGAGGGAGAGTATTTTCATATTGAGTAATTGTGGAGGAAGGAGGGAGGAGAGGAGGAGGAGGAGGAGGAGGAGGAGATCAGAGGCCTCTTGGATGGCCCTCGGGGTCTCTTTGGATGCCTCTTGAGACCTTCTTGTGGTTTTGGGACGCCTTTGGGCATCTTGGCGGTCCCAGGGCCTGTTCGGGTGCCTCGGGGGAGCCTCTTGGGGCCTCTTGGGGGTCCCTTGGGAGCCTCTTGGGGGCTTCTTGGGGTTTCTCGGGGCCTCCTGGATACCTGTTGGGGTCCTCGGGAGCCTTGGGGACTATCTTGGGTCCATCTTGGGGGTGTTCGATTAAAGATGGGGGGTGTGCTCAATTAGCCCCCCCCCAGGAGGCCTTGGGAAAATAACTGATGTGTGCCTTCTCGCTGAGGCATTCTTGGACGCTCCAACGACCCGCGACCCCGCCCCATCAAGGTCCAGGGGAGGGGGCAGGGGGTGGAGAAAGGTAGTTGGACGAGGAAACTCCATAGACCACTCGCGCCCTAAAGGGCTGGTGGGATGTCTGTATTGTATGTGTCCCTCTGGGCCTCCTGAAGGACCCTCGTCGCCATGGCTGGCACCCCCTCGAATCCTGGTTGGGACTCGCCCCAGGAGAGGGCCATCGATGTGTTGTGTGTGTCTTCGAGTGGGAAAGGAGGAGCGGCGGCCAGACGTCCGTCCCGCAGGCCGGCTCCACGGTGCGCGAAGAGCGCACGGAGACGTGCGCAAAGTCCCTGGCACCCTGGACGCCCCCGGTGTGCTCGCCTCGGCTTGCCAGAGTGAGCGGGTGTGGTGCACCGGGCGCCTCCTGCGCCCCTCGGCATCGCTCGGACGTGTGCGCTTTTTCTCTTCGGCGAGGGCCACCGAGGAGCAGCCTTGATCGCTTAGCGAAAAAACCACGCACGAGACCGACAAAAGCACGGGGAGTGGACGCCCGAGCGATGGCGAGGCCCTGCGAGGGGCGGTCCAGGGGCCCTGCACACGGACCTCGCCGGCCCGAGCTGGGCTCCGAGTGCGGCCGGGCCCCGGAGGCGCCGGAGAGGCTCGCCGCAGCAGGCGGCGTCAACGGCATCGGCATCTCCGCGCACGCGGGGCAGGCTGCAGCAGCGTGGCCACGGAGCGCGCGCCGGCGCGTGGCCTGCCGCGGGCAGAGCACGCGCGGCCGGCGAAGGCCTTCCCTTCTCGGCGCCCTCCTCCCTCTGCGCCCTCGCCAGGCAACATGGGAGCCACTCAGACACATGAACGACAACTGCCGCGAGCTCATCGCGAAGGCGCCCGCGCGCAAGCCGGTCCGGCCATGCCTGCCCGATGCGAGGAGACAGAGGGCTACGGTAGCCTCGAGGGTTCAAAGTTCTGGCACATCTCATGCGGAGCTTGTGTTGGACGCTGCGTGGAGACACTGCCATGTGTTGGACGCTACGTGCTGGACGCTTCGTGTTGGACCTTGACCTGACACTGACCATGGTCAGTGTCAGGTCAAGGTCTACTCCACATCCTTCAATATGCACCTCCCCCGTGCCAACCTGTCCGACGCCCCTTGCCCGCCCCCCCACGCGCCCCAAACCCACCCCCTCTTGCTCCCCAACCTCCCCACGCCCCCCCAAGGACAGCGGTTTTCCACCCCCCCACGCGATCCACCCCCCCACGCTTCTTGAGAGACCTGGAGTACGCTCTGAGAGCACAAGAGCACTGTGAATGGCCAGATCCCCCACTCGGATCTCGCACTGCAGGGGTCCCAGCGGAGATCGAACGCTCTGGCGAAAAGAGTTCCGGGCCGGTTTCGGGAGGCCGCCGGGCTCCCCAGGTTCCCGCTTCCGGGCTCCTCGGGTTCCCGGCCGGCTGCTTCGGGGGCCGATTCGGCGGGCGGCGGGCTTCCCGGGCTTCCTTTTTCCGGGTCCCTGGCCGATGTTCTCATCGATCGGTCTCACGATCCGATCTCGTTGCCCACCTCCCTATCGATCTCACGATCGATTTCACAATCGATTCCATGATCGATCTCGCAGTCGCTGTCACTACAGATCGCACGAGCGACCTCACGATCGATCTCACTATCGATCTCACTGAACCGACTCCACTATCGGTCTAACGATCGACCTTACTATCGTCTACTATCGATCTCACTGTCGATCTCACAATCGATCTCAATATCCATAACACTATTTTTAAGACCATCCTCTGATTGGGGATTTCCTCAGGTGTATTTTCATTCGCCCGTGTCCACGCATCCAGAGGTAATGGTACACCGCGCAGACAGGCGAAACAAGCCGCGCAGGATATCATTCCCAGCGGGAAATATGGGTTGCCCGCTGTTTCCTGTACAGGACGCCGGTTGTTTGGCATCATTCGTCTGATTCCACCGAAGAGACAGCAGATGGCCCGAATGCTGCGTCAGCTCGAGACTGTCCGAGGATGGCGACACGATACGTCTTCGGAGAGAGGCCTCTTGGGTGCCTCGTGGGGTCTTCCTGGAAGGCTGCAAGGCCCGCCCCCCCCCCATCTGTGGGGGGAGGATGAGCCACAGAAGGATGAAGATGGAAGAAGAGGAGGAGGAGGAGGAGGAGGAGGAGGGAGGAGAGAAGAGGAGGGAGGAGGAAGGGGAGGAGGAGGAGGAGGAGGAGGAGGAGGAGGAGGAGGAGGAGGCAGGAGGAGGGGGAGGACCCCTCCCGCCCCCGGGGGTGGCCGGCCGCGCCTCCCGGGGCGCGGCGCGCCCCCCGTGCGAGGCGCGCGCCCTCTTCGCCTGGCGGCGGCCTGGGGCGGTCGTGCAGGCGCGGGCCGCGGGGCGCCGCGCGGGTGGCCGCGCGAAGGGCGCTGCCTTGGCATCGCTCCTCCTCCTCCTCCTCCTCTCCTCCTCTCCTCCTATCCTCCTCCTCCTCCTCCCCCTCCCCCTCCTCCTCCTTCTCCTCCTCCTCCTCCTCCTCCTCCTCCTCCTCCTCCTTCTGCTTACGCCGGCGGGCAGGCCAGGATACGGGCGCGGTCCCGGCCCGCCCATTCATATTTTCCGCGGGGGCACCTAGCCTGCGCGGACCGGTGGCTCAGCTACCGATCGCCTTGCCTCGCCTTGCCCCTGGCATCGCTCGGACGTGTGCCTTTTTCCTTCGGCGAGGGCCATCGAGGAGCATCCTTGATGAGTTGGCGAAAAAAACACGCACGGAACCGAACAAAAACACACAGGGAGTGGACGTCCGAGCGATGGCGAGCGTTGCCAAATACTTTCCAGATGTCTGAAGCATGCGTTACACATGTTTTGAAGCATGTAAAACACATGTTTTAAACAACATGTTCAGAACATGTGTCCGACGTTTTAAACACGATCAGTGGAGAGGCAGCACGTTGCCAAATCATTTCCAGATGTCTAAAGCATGTGTTAACACATGCTCAGAACATTTGTTGGTCTGCGGGGCGAGAGCGGACCTCTTCCGATACAAGCTAGGCGGGCTACGCACAGCTCTAATTGGGGAGACGGGGCACAGGCGGGCGGGGGCACAACATGTTCAAAGCATGTAAGACACATGTTTAAAACATGTTTAGAACATGTGTCCGACACTTTAAACACATGTTAACTTTCAGTGACAGGACTGTTCCGGTGCCCACTGTCGTGGCGTCCACGGTGCAGGCCGGGAGGTGCCCGCAGCAGGGCAGCTGCCGAGCCGCGCCTCGGGCGGTCGGGGTGCCCTGGCCTCGAGCCGCGGGTGCCCGAACGGCTGGTCCGGCTGTTGAGAGAGGAGGCTCTGGAGGTGGCCCGGGCTCGCATCTTTCGCCACCCACCAAACCACCCCAGCCCAATCCCCGAAGGCTCAGATTTACCCTCGATCTCCAGCATGGGGGGGTCGACAAAAACACATGTGGAACCCTTACCCCCTCCCAACCCGAAGTTCGGGTCTTCGGGTTGGGTTGGGGTGGTCTGGTAGGCAGTCAGTCCTGCTTGGCCACGCGTGAATGATCTTTCGCCGGAGTGGCTTCCGGTGCGGACCCGCAGGGGCCCCCTCAGGCAGGCCTGGGATGCGGACAGGTCGCTCTGGAGCGTTCCGGGGCGCTCTCGGAGTGCTCTGGAGCGTTCCGGCCGCGGCGCCCCGCACATCCTCTGGACCCGCTGGCTTCGTCTTGCGCATCCCCACCAACACTGGCCCGCGCGCTTGGACTTGGCCTCCCCTCGGCCCCCCACAGCCGCGCATCAGAGGTCGCGCTTGCCTGGGGTCACTCTTCCGTGCAGCCGATCTCCCGGCCTCCTTTCCCCTGGGCCCCCCTTGTGGCCCTGGAGAGGGGGGAAAAGGGAGGGAGAGGGGACGGGGGGAGGGGACGTAGTAGGCAGGGAGGGAGGGAGTAGGGAGGATGAGGAGGAGGATAGAGGAGGGGAGGGGGAGGAAGGAGGAAGGGAGGGGAGAGCGGGGAGGGGAGGTGGATGGAGGGAGGCAGGGAGGGAACGATAAGATGGAGGAGGGGGAGGAATGAGGCAGGAGGAGGGAAGGAGGGAGGGAAGTGGGGAGGAAGGGAACGGACGGTACATAGACAGTAAATTCGACCCCAAAAATTATTAGTGAGAGTGTGGCAATGGAGGGGGCTTGGGTGGACAGAAATACTCGAACCTCAAAACCATTACCCATGCTCAACTCAACATTGATTTCGGGGGCGGGGGGGTGATGAGCATCCTCCTCAAGTGTGTGAGGGTTCGACCATTGTGTCCATGTACTGGAGAGGAGGTGGATGGAAAGAGGGACAGGGAGGGAAAGTGAGGGATGGAGGAATTGAGGGAGGGAGGGACGAGGTTGGATGAAGCAAGGATGGGGGACAAGGGGTGAATGATTTTTTTCTGATTCATTGTTTTGCTGATCGGCGCGGGCCCTCGCACCCCTTCACCCCCTCCTGCCATGGAATAGATCTTGGTTGTTTTTGGCGCATGTTTCAAGCAGGTGGAGTCTCCCCCATAGGACGCACTATTGCAAACAGTCGCATTAAGCAGAGCTCTGGAGCCAGACCCCCCCTCCTCCTCCTCCTCCTCCTCCTCCTCCTCCTCCTCCTCCTCCTCCTCCTCCTCCTCCTCCTCCTCCTCCTCCGCCTCCTCCGCCTCCTCCTTCTCCTCCTCCTCCTCCTCCTCCTCCTCCTCCTCCTCCTCCTCTCCCGCCCAATGTCGAAGCGCCGAATCAGAAAACGTTCACTTAGGGAGAAGAGGGGAGGAGGAGGAGGAGGAGGAGGAGGAGGAGGAGGAGGAGGAGGAGGAACGGTTTGGGTGTTTGTCCCCCCCCTAGGGTTGGGCTCGCCTACGTGTTTCTTACCGGTTTTGTAGCAGGACGTTGCCTGGCCTCGGTTGTTGGGCTGCTTCCTCGTGACCTCGGCGCCGATTGCCCGCTCTTACTTTGCTAGGGCTGGGCTGTGCTGTGTTGGTTGTGCCATGATCTGCCGTGGTGCCAGTGCCAGCTAAATGTCACTCCGTTATATCGAGGCTGGCCACGCCAGGCTCGGACCTGCAGTGCCACAGTGTGCCGTGCTGGGCTAAGCAAAGTAGTTGTGCAGTGCTGGTCGATGCCGTGCTGTGCAGTGCTGCGTTGTCCCATATGATGATGTGCTAGGCTGCGCCACGCTACGCCACGATGCGCTATACCAGTCGGCGCTACGCAGCGCTGCAAGGCAATGGCATGCTGGGCGGTGCTATGCTACTGTGCATTACCATATCTTTCGATGTGTGTTGCATGGCACCTCATTGATGGCGCTCCTGCCCCTATCCAGGCCCCGAGGACCTTCACGGATCGAGTCGATTCGCAAGGTAGGGGTTTTAGCTGTATCTGTGTTCCGAGACAGGTGTTGTGTTTTCCATGACGTCAGACTTTGCGTCGGTCGGTCTCTTCGTTCCGTGGTCTCGTGATCTTTCGGCTCAAGTTTTTCTCATCCAGGCTGGCCCGCGGCATCTCGTAGCTTGACCCACCCTCTGATCCGGGCGTCGTGAAACAGACAACGATGGGCGCTGATTGGGATCGCTTCGGCGGTTCTGGGCCCTCACGGATCGATCGGGCTCAAAGAACCCCGCAGAAAGATGATGGCAAGAGTTTCAGTCGTGTTTGATCACGTGTCTGTCATGCTGACGTTTGTTTCCACGATGTCGGATCTCGGGGAGCCCAGCCCGTGCTTCGACATCCTGATGCTGTAGGAGCTACTGTCGACGGCCCCGGCCATGGCAGATACTCTCTTTGCACGATTGGTATTTCTTGCTCTCGTCGTGATCTTTTCTATCATCGGGGTTGCATATCCATTTGTAGCGATCAGGCGATTCGGCCGTCGA